TTTTAAATAGTACAGGGATTTTGGTCAAATTTTACAAAAATTGACAAGTAGAAAATTCCTCAATTTTATCACATTTTCTGATGCAAATACATGTTCTTATATTGTACAGAAAATTTTAGATGATTCCAATCAAAATTATTTATTCTACAAACATTTAAAATTGATCAAAATTCATCTTAATTAATGAAATAAATCAGTATTATTAATTCTGACCAATCTTCTCATAGTTGCTGCTGACAGACAGTGATGAGTAAAGAGGTGACTGTGCCTGTGGTAGTTCTGGTCCTGTCAATGGAGCACTCAGCCAGACCTTGAGTAGTGTTGGCCCCAGTATATTATCATAGACACAGAGAACCATTGAGCTGAAGTAGGTGTGGTATGGGAGGAGCTCCTTTGGTATACTGTCCTGGGTCTGGAACCCGAGGGACTGTAGGGCAGCCATTGAACACTAGGAGAACTGAATACAAGAGACTCTGAATACAAGACAAGATGCTGTGCAGGTAAGAAGGAGGGGCTGTGAAGTAGGTGTGGCTAGCTATAAATTGATTATTAAGCTTAAATGAGTGGGTATATTTAGTGGGTGAGGTTTATTACATAATTATTATGTAATACCTTATCTCTACTCTGATTGGTCAGTCTATCCCGCCAAATTCAGTGCCCGCCAAGTCTCAGGAAAGAAGAAATCCCTTTCTCTGACTCTCTCTGTTCCTCTCTTCTTGTTAATATTGTCCAATGGCTGCTACTAGAGTCCTGAGAGTTCCTTTAGGCTCCTCCAGCTATAACTCTGAGAACATTCCTCCTCCTCTTCCTCTCTCTGCCACTGGAGGAAAGAAGAAGACTCAGTTACCAATTGAGGAGGACTTTGATAAAATGGCTCCCTTCACCCTCACAGTAAGACCAGCCTCCATTAGTATCCTTATCCATTATTATCCTATCTCTATTACTAACAGAAGGAGCCAATGGAGTCTGAAGGTGTTAAACCAAAGGAGCCAGTCCCTGAGCCATTGCTTGAGGAGAACCCGAGGAGGTTTGTCCTGTTTCCAATACAACACACTGAGATATGGCAGTTCTATAAGAAAGCAGTCGGTAACTACTTTGATAACAATAATTATGATAATAGTTGGTAATAGTTAATGATATTCATTGTCTGTGGTTTTACATTACAATTCATTTCTTGTGTATACATCATGCACTGTTGTTTATCTCTGTCTCTGTCTCTCTCTCTGTCTCTGTCTCTCTCCCTCTCTCTCTCCCTCTCCCTCTCCCTCTCCCTCTCTCTCTCTCTCTCTCTCTCCCTCTCTCTCTCTCTCTCTCTCTCTCTCTCTCTCTCTCTCTCTCTCTCTCTCTCTCTCTCTCTCTCTCTCTCTCTCTCTCTCTCTCTCTCTCTCTCTCTCTCTCTCTCTCTCTCTCTCTAGCTTCTTTCTGGACGGTAGAGGAAGTTGATTTGTCAAAGGATTTACAAGATTGGGAGAAATTAAAAGTATTTAATTTTTAATTAATTAATATTTAATTAATTATTATTAATTAGGAGGAGGAGCGTTATTTCATTAAACACGTATTAGCATTCTTTGCTGCTAGTGACGGGATAGTCAATGAAAACCTGGTATGATTATTATTATAATTAATTAATTAATAATCATTATTATTATTCTTGCCCTGTTAGGTCGAGAGGTTCAGCTCTGAGGTACAGGTAACTGAAGCAAGGTGTTTCTATGGGTTTCAAATAGCAATGGAGGTATAGTTGTAATTATATTTATTTTAAAAAATTATTTATTTTATTTTTTGTTTATTTGTAGAACATTCATTCTGAGATGTACAGTCTACTCATTGATACTTACATCAGTGATAAACATGAAAGTGATTATTTGTTTAACGCAATCGAAAACAGTAAAAACAACAATTTATTATTATTATTATTAATTATTATTAATAGTGCCTTGTGTTAAGAAGAAAGCTGATTGGGCCATCAATTGGATTCAGTCTGAGGATGATTCTTTTGGCGAGAGAGTCATTGCTTTTGCAGCTGTTGAGGGAATATTCTTCTCCGGCTCTTTTGCAGCAATATTCTGGCTCAAGAAACGGTAACTGCAGTTATACAGTACATAAGTACATGTATCAGAATCAGCTCAAGCTTTCTCGTTACATTTTGCAATCAGTTTGTTTGTATAAAATTAATTTTGGATGGACATTTTCACCCATTCTTGCACAAATAGTCAGAGTAGAATCCCCTCCACACTGTACCATTATTGTATAATGATTTGTGTTTCTTCCCTCCAGTGGGTTGATGCCTGGTCTGACATTCTCTAATGAACTGATCAGCAGAGACGAGGGTCTCCATTGTGACTTTGCTTGTCTCATGTACAAGAACCTCATCAACAAACCGACCAGTGAGAGAATAAAACACATCATCACTGACGCTGTACTGATTGAACAAGAGGTAGTACTATTAATAATAATAAGGATGATGCTGCAATACATACATTCTATTTTTAGTATCATTCTATTTTTAGTATCATTCTATTTTTAGTAACATATAACATTGTTTATTTATAGTTTCTGACTGAGGCCCTACCCTGTAACCTCATTGGTATGAACTGTGTCCTAATGAAGCAATACATTGAATTTGTAGCTGACAGACTGCTAGTGGCACTGGATCAACCCAAGGTACTCCTAATATTATGGATACCTTTTTAAATGGAGTCATTGCTGTCTTGTTTTTAGGTGTACAATGTCAGTAATCCTTTTGATTTCATGGAGAATATCTCTCTGGAGGGAAAGACTAATTTCTTTGAGAAGAGGGTCGGTGATTATCAGAAGTCAGGAGTCATGAGTAAGAAGACTGAGCACGTCTTCACTTTAGAGGCAGAGTTTTAAAGAGACAGCAACTGGACTATATAATAAAATTGGCTTTATTTATTTTGACATTTAACAATTTAGCATCTAAATTAGCTTGTCATTTTTTATCCTTAAAAACTATTAATAACACTCCATGCATCCAGTTAACAGACTCTCCAGTACACAGTAATGTAATGTCTAAGAGCAACACAAAGCTCAATTGTCACTTGCTTTGAGTAAAGATGCAGTTATGTTAATGAATGAGTGGGCGTGGCTCATTATCCAGTTAGCCCCGCCCACCAGTATGAATGAAGGAAGTACAGTTACTTCCTCTTGTCAGTTCTTTTCTTGTCTGCTCGTTCTCTCTTTGTTCTCCCTCCATCATGCAGAAAGGTGAAGATGAGACTCTTGATTCTGTCATGGACGTCAACTTTGACTACATGTACAAGATACTGATGGTTGGTAACTCAGGAGTGGGGAAGACAGCTTATGTCTCCAGATACTGCGATGATCACTTCAACCCAGCCTTCATATCAACAGTGGGGATTGACTTTAGAGTAAAGAACCTCATCAGGTATTGACCATATATTCATGTACAGGTATCTTTAGAGTAGCGGCTATATTGTGTATTGTTATAGTTGTATTGAGTTGTATGGTTGTTGTTGTTTTCCATTAATATTGTTAATTATTTCACTTGATAATGTTTTGTTAACAGTGTCACCTCATTAATATACACACATTATATACACCTACTATCATCATTAGTAACATTATACATTATACAGGTATACAGGTACACATTCTACATGGTACATGGTATTATTGCCAGTGTTATTGAATGTGATGATGAGTAAACAGTGTCTGTAGTATTTGTAATGGCTGCCAGATATTAGCAGTAGATACACTCCAGGCTGCCAATTACTAATCACAATAATAATTACTGTGACTATTAATAATAATAATAATAATAATAATAATAATAATGAATTCTCTTTCTACTACCCTCCCTCCCCCTTTCTTCCTCTAGGAATCAGAAACGTATAAAGCTCCAGATATGGGACACAGCTGGTCAGGAGCGCTACCAAGCAATCACCACGGCTTATTATCACGGGGCAATGGGCTTCATCGTAATGTTTGACTTAACCAGTGAAGACACTTTTTCAGCCTGTCGTATGTGGTAAGACACACCCCTCTATTAATAAATAAAAAATTAATAAATAATTAATAATTAATTACCAATAGGATACAGCAGATCAAAGAGATGGCCCTAGAGAATGCTATTATTTTATTAATTGGTAATAAAGTTGATCTAACGGCTCAGCGACAAGTAAGCACTGAGAGCATTGAGGAGTTCACTGACTCACTGGGTATTCACTTCTTTGAGACGAGTGCCAAGGAAAACACTAACATCAAGGAGAGTGCTGAATATCTTGTGGACGCCATCACTCAGAAAATGTCAGAAACGATTGAGAAGAATCCTAACTTCACTCCTCGTGGAGTTAAGCCAAGAGAGACTGCAGTAGCTAATGAGAAACCCTCCGGCTCCTGTGGCTGCTAGAGGAAGGGGAGGGGCTTATTCAAATTTTAGTTCATACATTATTCCAAGTATTTTTATTACTGGCATTCATTATTAATACTTATACTCCATTCATTCATTCATTTTTCATTCATTTCTGTAATACCGCAATAGTTTTAATTAAGCAACTCTTGTTGTAAAAATATTGAAAAAATTCCATGCTGTCAATTAGAGGCTATACGGCAGTTCCTCGTGTTTTCCTAATGGCGGCTTTGGTCTAGCTTCAAGAGATCACATTGAATCGTTTCACAAGAAGGAAAGATGGAGACAGCCTTTAGTGTAGCCACTAACAACAGGTTTGCCTTTTTCATGGACGATGAGGATGACCCTGGGGATGTAACCGGAGGCCAATCCAGTCAAGAGAAGAAAGGGAAGGCTGAAGGGGGAAAGCAGCCACAGCAACCAACCGGAGGCTCTCCTAAGAACAAGGAGAACGGGCAGACTGGGGGCAGCAAAGAGGAGAAGGGGAAGAAGAAAGGAGAGAAGCCACTGGAAGGAAACCGTAAGACTGAGCAGCAGCAGCAAGGGAAGAAGAAGGAGACTGGTTAGTGCATGATACAACATTGGACATTATTGATTAATTAATAGGAGAGAGAGGTCCAGCTAATAAAGATAAGGGACCAGCTGGAGGAGAGAGACAGAGGAACAACCCACCCTCAGGAGGAGGGGGAGGGCCTACCAGCGGGTTTAAGGATAACAGAAGGACCAATGAGGCCAGCGATAGAGAGGGTAGACCACCCAGACAGCAGCAGCAGTATCGGAATAGGGGGAGACTGCCTTCAAAGGAAAACCAGGAAAGGTAATGTGATATAACTAATGAATCTGTTAGTTTGTGAGTTGGTGTAATTGGATGTGGTATGTTCTTTCTTAATTAGTATACTTAATTAAAAATATTAATATTACTGATGATCATTAATAACTTGTTTTATTAATTAATAACTAGTGGTGGTGATGAAGGAGGTGATGATTCAAGACAGACCAGACAGCGTTGGAACAACCGAGAGAGAGGAGACAGACAAGGAGAAAGAGGAGGAGAGAGAGGAGGGGACACTGGAGGGGAGAAGAGATTCAATCCTTTCAGAACCAACAGACCAGGAGGAGGAGGAGGTGGTGGTGGTGGTTTTAGAGGAGGAAAGAGAGAGTTTGAAAGAAGAAGTGGCAGTGATAAAAGGTAACGAGTTCATTAATTAATTAATTAACTATTATTATTATTTTCATTATTATTTTCATTATTATTATTGTAGTTCTGTAAAGGCATTTGATAAGAGAGAAGGGGGCGGGGCCCACAACTGGGGAACTGTCAAAGACGACATGAACACAAAGTAGCCTCCAATAATGATTAATATTAATTAACCTTTTAACAACCAACCGACCCTCTAGTGAATGGGCCACTGATGAACAAGAAGCTGCTACTGATAATAATGCAACTGAACTAAACGAGGAGAATACCAAGTAACTAATTAATTAATTAATTTGTTTGTTTATTTGTTTGTTTGTTTGTTGTTGTTAGTGATCAATCTGAAGTGGTGGAAGGTGAAGGAGAAACAGAGTCCAAGGTAGCCCCTGGCTCTGAAGAGAAGGAGGGGGAGGAGGAGGAGGAGGAGAAAGAGACCCCACAGTTCACCCTGGATGAATACAAGGCCATGCAAGATAAGGTATAGTGGAGTCATACTTGAAACAGTCCATTGTTCAGTTTGTGTTAATTATTGGGGTGTATGGGGGTCATATCTGATCACTTTCTTGCTGATATTTGTAGAAACGAACTGTCCCACTGCACAAAGAGAGACGCCCCGGAGAGAATGAAGACCAAACGAGATGGAAAAACACTTTTGTCTTAGAGAGAAATGAAGCTGAATTCTTCCCTGGAACAAGAGTATGTGATAATGAGACCACACCCATTGTTTAAGCCACACCCACTTTAATTAGGAGATTGTTGAGAAGTACAAGACCTCAGGACGTGAGAAGACAGTCATTGAATCAAGTTTCTTCTTTCGTGACCCCCAGCGGTTCACTGGGGGGCGTGGCGGTGGTCGGGGAGGAGGGACAGGAGGACGTGGTGGGGGACGACGGCCCAGTGATGAACGTAGGGGAAACTTCCGTCGTGGTGACAGGGATGATCGTCGTGATGATCGCCGTGGCGATCGAGATGATCGTCGTGGCGACCGTGATGAACGTCGTGGCGACCGTGATGATCGTCGTGGCGACCGCGATGATCGTCGTGGCGACCGCGATGATCGCCGTGGTGACCGGGATGATCGTCGTGGTGACCGTGATGATCGTCGTGGTGACCGTGATGATCGCAGAGGTGGAGAGCGTAGGCCTCCCAGAGCTCGTGATCGTTCAAACTTCAATGTTGAAGATGAAAAGGACTTTCCTTCCCTCGGGACTGTCAGTGCCTGAAATAAAGTGAACTGCTTCAGTAGTAGCGATAATAATAATTGTTATTATTGTTATCACTACTTATTAATAATTGGTTGATGTACAATGCACAATAATGTTTATTTACAGTATTGTTTGTTGTTATTGTTGTTGTCTACTTTTATTGTAAAGATAATTCCAGATAGTGACATTGTTCTGTGTACAGTTCAGCATCAGATAGACAGTAATCACAGTTTGACTACTGTTACTGTATCAACTGGTGGTTGATGGCTCCCTGCCAGTGAGCAAAGGAAGGAAGATGGATACTACTTGAGTGTAATTTGAGTAGTGACAGTTTGAGGTGCTATTTGTACTAATATCACGGTTTGGCTCCTAATTAATTAAGTGGCTGTAGTCATGGAAACTTTACAAAGACAGCAGCTGCTATTTAATTTGAAAAAAAAGTGGAAGTGTCACCTTCTTGAGGATTCCTTTCATTCCTAACTTCATTTAGTACCTCTTGGTGTAAAGAAGAGAAGAATTGGAAGCTTGTACTAATGACTGATAGTGATCTGGGTGCTACTGTATCCCAGGATGGTCTCTCACCTCAGGACTTTGCTGGAAGCAGTAAGCCTGGAGCTGGACCAGGCCCTGGTGGAGCTAGGAAAGGTCACAGAAAGTCCTTAGTTCAAGCTAATATGGCTGAATCTATGAAACTGAAGCTCCTCCGAGCTAAAGCATTGAGAGATGGACAGAGAGAAAGGCTGGACAGCAGACACAAGTACATGCTGGAGTTTGTCTCTGATCGTTTGAAGCTTGAGCAGCCCGCTGTTGAAGACTTTATGCTTGATGGGGACCAGGTAAGGCTCCACTGCAGTCTGCAGCTTAATCTATGCACCTTTTCTTTAATTTATAGCTGGACCTCTTTGATGAGTTTTTTGCTGTTAATGGTCGTAAAGCAATATTGTTCTTTTATCAAGAAGCAGACACCCCCATATCTAGTAAAACTATTACTATTATGTTTTTATTTATTGTTTTATTTAGATGAGTTGTTGCAGTTTGGTGTTAGTCAGTCTGTTGGCAAGGAGAGAGTGAAGCGTGTTCTTGCTACTGACGGTAGCACTGATCCCATTGATGGTCCCTGTGTATTCTTCCTGAGGCCTAACATCAGGAAAGCCATTACCACCTCAAACATATCTGATGTATGACATTGTTTATTGTTTGCTTGTTTGTTTATTTGTTTGTTTGTTTATAGGAGATATGTGGTGGTTATTTTGACATTAGTAAGAATCAGACTATCCTCCAGGTCATTCAGGATTATTTAAACAAAGTGATGGTTCCTTATCTGACTGCTAAACAAAAGTGGGGGAACCTCTCCCAGCAACAGATTGCAGAGTTCTTTGCTATACTCCAATCATTCAGTCTATTCCTTAACAGTAAGCTATTATAATTAATTATCACTATTATTTTATTATCATTTATTTATTATTATTTTAGGTGCACAGAAGAGTATCAATGATGCTGTTCACTTATCAATGGACACTTCAGTTGATTTGAGTTCACTCTCAACCTCTGAAGGATGCATCAGTGCCTCTAAGAATCCTGACACTGTGACTGGACTGGAGTCATTAGTGTCAGTATGGTGTCAGCAAGTGGAGGATGTACTAGCACAAGGGTCACAGATTAGGAAAGAAGCTGATGATACAGGTAGACATATTGATAATGATGACTGTCATTAATGGTTTATTGATAGGGCCTCTGGCTGAGTTAGAGTATTGGAGGCAGAGAACGTCAAAGTTCTCATACCTAGTGGATCAGATAAAGTCCCAGCCTTGCAGAGGAGTGGTGACTACACTCGGGGCAGCTAAATCAAGAGCTTTAAAAGTACATGAGATGATACTAATAATAACTGTGAATAATAATGTGTGGTACAGGACTGGAGGGAGCTTGATATGCAGGTTACTGATGCAACCAATGAAGCTAAGGATAATCTAAAGTATCTCAATACTTTGGAGAATTTCTGCAAACCACTCTACCGTTGTGACCCTGTGTCCATGCTGGATGCACTACCATCTCTCATTAACACAATACAAATGATCCACTGTGTATCAAGATACTACCACACATCAGAAAGAATGACATCATTGTTTGTTAAGGTGCAATTTATGATGTATTTATGATGTGTAGAAAGTTTGAACTGATTCCAATCAAATTTAGATTTTTTATAAATTTTTAAAGTTTCTCTAAAATTGGACAAAAATCCCTGTACTATATAGTACAAGGATTTTTTGACAAATTTCACCAAAATTGAAAAGGAGAGAATTCCTCAATTATGTTACATATTATGATAATCATTACATGATAGGTCACTAATCAGATGGTCTCTGCCTGCAAGTCCTACATCACTGATAATGACATGTTCAGGGTATGGGACGTTGAGCCTCATGTCCTGGTTAATCGGTTTGATGACTGTACTAAACTCTACAAGCACTACCAGGACTGCTTCCAACAGGCCAAGGACAGGGCAGATAAATCAAAGAGACTCTTTGAAGTCTCTGAAATGTACGTCTTTGGAAAGTTCTCGTCTTTTTGTCGTCGGCTGAAGCAAATTGGAGACATTGTAGAGCTAATGAGACAGTTCAGTGTCCTGAAGCACTCTCGCATTGAGGGGATTGATGTGTATGCTACAAGGTTCTCTCACATCATCTCCTCCATCAAGAAGAAGGTGTACAACCCACTGGACCACAGGAAGATGGAGTTTGTCTCTGACTATGAAGACTTTCAGAGACAAATATCAGAACTAGAGGACACACTAGTGGCCTTCATGGGGACGACCTTCTCTCAAGTACAATCAACACTCCAATCACTCAAACTGATCAAAAGGTACTTGTGTATTAATTGTTGTTTATTGTTGTTTATTGTTGTTATTGTTGTTATTGTTGTTCATGGCAGGTTTCATTCAATGAATCTCAATTGTTTGCGTGAGCCGATTAAAGAGAAGCTAGCTGATATTGTCACTGACTTTCATAAAGACATTGAAGGAGCACAAACTGTAACAATATATAATGATAATAATGATACATTAAACTATTATCACTATTACCAGGCTTACACTAATAATTACAAGAACCCGGTTATTGATCACAACATGCCTCCTATATCAGGAAGGATCCACTGGGCCAGACAGATACTCTTTCACTTAGAGCAGCCAATGGAAATACTCAAAGAATACCAGTCCATCATACAGGGATTCACTAACACTAAACTACTGTATAAGAAATATAACAAGACAGCACTAGTACTGACTGAGTATGAACTGACCTATCATAAGGCATGGATCAAGTACATTAATGAAGGACAGAAACACTTACAGGTAATGATACATTAAGAGTACATTATGGTATATTGTATTGCAGAGTACAGTATTGAAGAGGAGAGAGGGCCAGTGGTATGTTAATATCCACTCCTCCATACCCACCATGCTTGAAGAGGCCAAGTGGATGCAGAGACTAGGACTTTATGTACCAGACACTGTCCACCAGCTGTCAGTAGCTAATGTGAGGTCTAACTATGACCAATTGAAGGTATTCCTTTAAATAATTATTGTATTTATTATGATTATTTTATTTACTTATTTTAGTTATTATTAGAGGAAAGGTCAGAACTATGTCAAAAGATCCCTGATATATTCACTGGAATATTCCAATTCCACATTAGAAAGGTATAGGTGTACTCTACTATTAATGGATGTATTGTGTGCCTGCCTGACTCTGATCTCCTCCTGTAGCTTGATATAGTCCTCAATCCTGGTATCACTCACATCACTTGGATATCCATTAATCTTAAACCATACATTGATACTGCCTTCACTGCATTAAGGGAATTTGAAAGATTTCAAAAGAAGGTACGCACCCATGATTAAACATTATGTATATCTTATTCATAATCTGTAGGTCCTTGATATGTATGAGTATCAGATCCTGGCAGTGTTTGATTCAATGAGCAATACTTCATTATTGAACCTCTCTCCGTCAGAGACAGTCTCCACTGATCAGTTCATATCCAGTGCCAAGGCGACCAGCAAAGAGAGAGGATCCTTCCTTCAGAACTGCAGCTCTAAGATTGAATGCTCAGTACAGGAGCTGCTGGTATTGCTACAAGATAACGCTCTCCTCCCTACCCCTAATGAGGCAGACACCACTGCTGTAGCTCAGGCTAAGAAAGGTCCATAGATACACGTACATTTATTATTATATGGTTTATTAACTGGTTTGTTATTTTAGATGATTTGGAACACTTCAGGAATGAGTCTGAGGATTTATATATTCATTTTCAAAATCGTAATCTTGATGCTATCATCTCATCAGTGAAAGGATCCATTGATCAACTAAGAAGAAGAGTAACTGCTAGGTACATGAACATGAACATTATTTATTATATTTATTCATTTATTCCTATTAATAGTGGCTCTAATGCTAGAGGTATAGACACTTCAAGATTTGTACCTTGTTTTGCTGCTGATGTAGTACTATCAATACCCAATATTGTAAGAAATAGTAATAATAATAAATAGTATAATTTATTAAATAATGTAGGTGATCCAGCCTTCCCTAGAGGACATACAGAATGCAGTGAATACATCAGTTCAGTGTGTGACTGATATTGGACAATACATTCAGCTGTGGACACTGGCCAGTCCTGCATCATCTCTTAATAACACACCACGGAGTGAAGAAAGTAATAATAATACATACATATACTGGTACTGGAGATAGTTGTCATATAAGTACATCAATAAGTATCAGAAAATGTAATAGAAAGTTGGGGTGATTTTGGAGCCATTTTTTGGAAAAACCATGGGCTATAGCCTTGGGTATTTTTCAGATTTTTGCCATTTTTTAAAATGGCTGTAACTTGAAAAATTGAAGTAAGAATCAACTCAAACTTTCTACACAGCATAAGGACATCAATAAGTATCAGAAAATGTACTAAAAAGTTGGGATGATTTCGGAGCCATTTTTTGGAAAAAACCATGGGCTATAAGCCTTGGGTATTTTTCAGATTTTTGCCATTTTTTAAAATGGCTGTAACTTGAAAAATTGAAGTAAGAATCAACTCAAACTTTCTACACAGCATAAGGACATCAATAAGTATCAGAAAATGTACTAAAAAGTTGGGATGATTTCGGAGCCATTTTTTGGAAAAAACCATGGGCTATAGCCTTGGGTATTTTTCAGATTTTTGCCATTCTTTTAAATGGCCGTAACTTGAAAAATTGAAGTCGGAATCAGCTCAAACTTTCTACACAGCATAAGGACATCAATATGTATCAGAAAATATAATAAAAATTTGCGATGATTTTGGAGCCGTTTTTTGGAAAAAACCATGGGCTATAGTACAGGGATTTTGGCCTGATTTTGGAACTACTACTATTATACACAATGTAGCTGACTAGCTGTCATTATATTGTGTGTATTTTTAGCTCCTCATAAGAACATTCGTGGTTCTACTCATGGTTCAACTTACTTCCGGTCCATTCATGAGAGTAAAGATGTACTGAAGGTGATTCACATGCTCTCATCAGTAGTGGTCTCCTGCAGACATGAACTAGCTAAAGTAAGTACTACTGAGTGTTATTAGTTGTGTATCCATGTACATGTACATGTATTTATTATACCTGCAGATATTGGCCCAGTTCACTAAGTATGATCACTTGTACACTCAAGAGCAGTCCAAAGTGATTGCTGATTTCCTCACTGCCAGTAAGCACCTCTCAGACTTTGAGGGAGAGATCAGTCATTATGATAGACTGGAGGCAGAGGAGATTGGATCACTACCTCAACAACTGGCAATAGGACACACCATACTACTCTCCACTGGTAATGTAGTCTATATATGTATATTGTCCCCAGTTTTACTCCTATTTATTCTCCTTACTGATAGATCCATTGAGATTATCATTAACAGTTGAGACTAGAGCATGGAAAGCAGCTTATGGTCGGAGTATGAATGAGAGATACAGATCAAGCATGGACCATATTGTAACCTTTGTATCAGACTACAGCAAGAGACTGAGCAGACCTATCAAAGTGAAGTCATCAAGTGTTGCTGTTGCTGTTGTTTACTGTCTTGTTTTTGTTGTTTTTGTTGTTGTTTAGGATCTTGAAGATGTTAGGATGATGATGGCTTGTCTAGAGGAGGTCCGTGATGCCCAGATTGGTATTGACATGGAACTCTCTCCCATTGAAGACTCTTATGCCTTCCTCCACAAGTGTGGAGTGACTGTAGCTAAGGAAGAGGTGGAGAGAGTTGACTCATTGAGATACTCTTTTAAAAGATTATTGAGTCAAGCAGTAAGTGAACAGTATAAGGACTGCCTGACTGAGTCCTTTCTCCTTTATTGTAGAGTAAAGTCCAGTTGGAGCTGGTAGAGATACAGCCTCAGTTCAAGACTAACCTGCTGGAGAGTGTGGAGACATACAGGACCAACCTGACATCATTTGCAGCCAATTATAAATCAGTGAGTTCATACTGCTAGTACACATACAGTATCAGCTAGTGTATACTTCTCATGCTAGTCTGGCCCAATGGTGTCTGGGTTGCACCCAAGAGAAGCTAGTGAAAGACTCACCACATTCCAGGGTCAGTTTGATGAGCTCTGGTCAAAGTACCTCACGTACTCCGGAGGAGAGAAGCTCTTTGGTATGTCAGTAACTGACTATCCTGAACTGCAGAATGTGAGGAAGGAACTGGGTCTGCTCCAGAAACTGTATGGACTGTATAACACAGTCATTGATACTGTTGACAGCTATTATGATCTACTGTGGACTGAGGTAGAGCTACACTGAGGGATTATTATTAACAATTATAATGTGCGTAGGTTGATATTGAGAAGATTAATAATGAGTTGATTGAGTTTCAGAACCGCTGTCGTAAACTGCCCAAGGGACTGAAGGAGTGGCAGGCTTTCAATGACTTGAGGAAGAAGATTGATGACTTTAACGAGACCTGCCCACTACTGGAACTGATGTCTAACAAAGCAATGAAAGAGAGGCACTGGGGAAGAATATCAACACTTACTGGTAAACAATAACAACAACAATAAACAGCAACAACTTGTTTGTTTGTTTGTTTGCAGGTCATTCTTTTGATGTGCAGTCTGAGAACTTTCAATTGCGGCACATTATGGAGGCCCCACTGCTGCAGAATAAAGATGATATTGAAGACATCTGTATATCAGCTGTGAAGGAGAAGGACATTGAAGCAAAACTAAAACAAGTACTTTTTATTGATAATGTACATAATAATTAATGCTGTTATTTCAGGTTGTCACTGATTGGAGTGTACAAAGTTTAAGTTTTTCAGAGTTCAAGACGAGAGGAGAATTATTACTGAAAGGAAATGAAACCAGTGAAATAGTTGGACTAATGGAGGACTCCCTAATGGTCCTTGGGTCTTTAATGTCCAACAGATACAATGCTCCTTTTAAGAAAGAGATTGCTCTCTGGGTACAGAAACTGTCCAACACTTCAGACATCATTGAGAACTGGTTGACCGTACAGAACCTCTGGGTCTACCTGGAGGCTGTCTTTGTAGGAGGAGACATTGCAAAACAACTACCTAAAGTATGTGTAATCTACAAGTGACAGTATTGGCATTGTGTACATAATAGGAAGCTAAAAGGTTTCAGAACATAGACAAGTCCTGGGTTAAGATAATGACTAAAGCTCATGAGACTCCTAATGTGGTCCAGTGCTGTGTGGGGGATGAGACACTGGGACAACTACTCCCTCACCTCCTGGAGCAACTGGAGCTCTGCCAGAAATCATTGACTGGTTACCTTGAGAAGAAGAGGCTGGTCTTCCCTCGGTTCTTCTTTGTGTCTGACCCAGCACTACTGGAGATACTGGGACAAGCTTCAGACTCACACACTATACAGGTATGTAGTATGTACATGTACATGTTTAATATGTACATGTACATATTAAACATGTACAGTGCAGTGTTATTCAAGAGGTGCATCCCTCCATAGGCTCATTTGCTGGGAGTGTTTGACAATGTGAAGAGTGTAGTGTTCCATGAGAAGGACTATGACAGGATACTGGCCATCAGTTCAAGAGAGAGTGAGACCATTCAACTAGAGAATGCAGTAATGGCACAGGGCAATGTTGAGGTCTGGCTGGGACAACTACTCAATGAAGCAATGTCTTCTCTTCATGGAGTCATCAGAGATGCATCAAGAGCTATTGGATCATCATCTTTTGAACTATTAGGTACTTTTATACATAAACCCTGCCTCCAGATATAGTGCATTGATTATGGACTTGTTCTTTTGTAGAGTTCATTAACAGTTTCCCTGCTCAAGTTGGTCTCCTCGGTATTCAGATGATGTGGACGAGGGACTCTGAGGTGGCACTGAGAGGAGCTAGGTCAGACAAGAAGATAATGACTGCTACTAACGCCTTCTTCCTTGAAATGCTCAACAAACTGATTGAAGTGACTACAAGAGATCTAACTAAATTTGACAGAATCAAGTTTGAGACTTTAATCACAATTCACGTACACCAAAGAGATATATTCAATGATCTGGTAAGTAATGTACATGTACAGTACATCATTGTTGCATTATCATCATCATTATTAGGTGCGTATGTTTGTTAAATCAGTGAATGATTTTGAGTGGCTAAAGCAGAGCAGGTTTTATTTCAATGAGGACACTGATGAGACCATCATATCAATAACTGACGTTAACTTTAAGTACCAGAATGAGTTCCTAGGCTGCACTGATAGACTGGTCATCACTCCATTGACTGACAGGTGTTATATAACACTAGCACAAGCACTGGGAATGTCTATGGGAGGAGCCCCTGCTGGACCTGCAGGTATGCATAACTATTTATTCATTTATTTATTTATTTATTTATCACCGGTACATTAGGTACTGGTAAGACTGAGACTACAAAGGATATGGGTAAAGCCCTGGGGAAGTATGTGGTTGTGTTCAATTGTTCGGATCAAATGGACTTTAGAGGATTAGGACGAATATACAAAGGATTGGCCCAGTCTGGCTCCTGGGGCTGCTTTGATGAGTTCAATAGAATAGAACTACCAGTACTGTCAGTAGCAGCTCAACAGATATACATTGTACTCACCTGTAAGAAGGAAAGGAAGGCACAGTTTATATTCACTGATGGAGATGTGGTTGATATGAACCCTGAGTTTGGTATCTTCCTGACAATGAACCCGGGCTATGCTGGGAGACAAGAGCTGCCTGAAAATCTCAAGATACAGTTCCGTACTGTAGCCATGATGGTACCTGACAGACAGATCATAATGAGAGTCAAACTGGCCTCCTGTGGCTTTATTGAGAATATCATTTTAGCACAAAAGTTCTTCACTTTATACAAACTGTGTGAGGAGCAGCTCACAAAGCAGGTCCATTATGACTTTGGACTGAGGAACATTCTCTCAGTATTGAGAACCCTTGGATCAGTAAAGAGGGCTAACCCACAGGACAGTGAGAGCACCATTGTGATGAGAGTACTGAGAGACATGAACCTCTCTAAACTAGTGGATGAGGATGAGCCATTGTTCCTCTCCCTCATCAATGATCTCTTCCCTGGTATTACACTAGAGAAGGCAGGCTACCCTGACCTTGAGGCCTCCATTGATAATCGTGTGACTGAAGTGGGTCTTATCAATCATCCCACATGGACTCTTAAATTGATCCAGTTGTTTGAGACCCAGCGGGTCCGTCATGGTATGATGGTCCTCGGTCCCAGTGGTGCTGGTAAGACCTGCTGCATACACACACTCATGAAAGCAATGACCGACTGTGGTGAGCCTCACAGGGAGATGAGGATGAATCCAAAAGCAATAACTGCTCCTCAAATGTTTGGACGTCTTGATGTAGCCACTAACGACTGGACTGATGGTATATTCTCCACTTTATGGAGACGGACCCACAAGTCAAAGAAAGGAGAGCACATATGGTTAGTGCTTGATGGACCGGTTGATGCAATATGGATAGAGAACCTCAACAGTGTACTGGACGATAACAAGACCCTCACACTGGCTAATGGTGACCGTATACCAATGGCTCCTGACTGTAAGATTGTCTTTGAGCCACACAATATAGACAATGCCTCCCCAGCCACTGTATCTCGTAATGGTATGGTCTACATGAGCTCCTCTGCTCTTGATTGGAGGCCGATACTGCAAGGATGGCTCACCTCTAGATCTGAGCTGGAGAGAACTGTCCTCTGGGAGCTGTTTGATAAATCATTTGAACCAGTCCTGACCTACACCAGACTCAACCTTGAGGCTAAGATGGACGTACTGGAGTGTAACTACATCAAACAAGTAATTAAATAATTACCAATTCATTATTATTATCATTATTATCTATAATAGGCGACTGATCTGCTAGAGGGCCTAGTGCCACAGGAACAAGACCAGACAATGTCTAAAGAATATTTAGAGAAGTTGTACATATTTGCATTAATGTGGAGTGTGGGGGCCCTACTGGAGCTTGATGACAGAGCAAAGATGGAGTCCTTCTTAGTAGATCAGGGAACACTAGCACTGCCTCCAGTAAAGGACAATGAGACCATATTTGAGTACCTGGTGGATGAGACTGGCCAGTGGCAGCACTGGTCCTGCAGGGTAGAGGAGTACAACTATCCATCGGATCATGTTCCAGAGTATGCTTCAATCCTAGTCCCTAATGTTGATAACGTGAGGACCACATTCCTAGTGGATACCATAGCCAAACAGAATAAAGCAATACTACTCATTGGGGAACAGGGAACAGCTAAGACTGTAATGGTACAAGGATATGCTACCAGATATGATCCTGAGCAGCACCTCTTTAAATCATTTAACTTCTCTAGTGCCTCTACTCCTGCTCTGTTCCAAGTAAGAGTACCAATACATGTATATAGTTGTATTACTATTATTATTGTTTGTTGTTTGTAGAGGACAATAGAGAGTTATGTTGATAAGAGGGTTGGTAATACTTATGGTCCTCCTGCTGGTCGTAAGATGACAGTCTTTGTTGATGATATCAACATGCCAGTGATCAATGAGTGGGGAGACCAGGTACTGTAGAAAGAGCCCAGTGTATATTCATTATTATTATTATTCATTGACAGGTTACTAATGAGATAGTGAGACAGTTGATGGAAATGAAAGGATTCTACAGTCTAGAGAAACCAGGAGACTTCACTCATATTGTTGATATTCAGCTAATGGCAGCCATGATTCATCCTGGAGGAGGTAGAAATGACATACCAGAGAGACTCAAGAGGCAGTTCACCATATACAACTGTACACTGCCTTCTAATGCTTCAATTGATAAGATATTTGGAGTCATTGGGTCAGGATATTTCTGCACTGACAGAGACTTCACTTCTGAAGTACAGTCCATTGTTCAGAAACTAGTCCCCTGTACCAGAGTACTCTGGCAAAAGACAAAGGTATGATATGATCACTGTATAGCTTTTGTAGTTATGATAATATTGGAATGACTAATAATGTTACTATTGTACATTGCTACAGATTAAAATGCTACCTACACCAGCAAAGTTTCATTATATATTCAATTTACGTGATTTGTCAAGGATATGGGAGGGGATGCTACTGGTCTGTGCCCCTGAGTGTGACACTCTTGATAAGATCATCAGCTTATGGTGTCATGAGTGCTCCAGAGTCATTGCTGATAGGTTCACTAATGAACAAGACTGTCAATGGTTTGAAGATGTAAGGAAATGAATAATAACAATAGATCAATAGTGATTTGTGTGAAAAGTTTGAGCTGATTTTAATGAATATTAGATTTTTTTACAAATTTTTAAAGTTGCTCCAAAATCAAGCTAAAGCCCCTGTACTATAGTGCAGAGATTTTGGCCAAATTTTGCCAAAAATAAAAAGGAGAGAATTCTCAATTTTTATTACAATTTCTTATTATAGACAATGGAGAAGGTCCTCATTGATGAGTTGGGTTCTGGTACTGTGTTTCCGGAGAGACCTTTCTTTGTTGATTTCTTGAGAGATGCTCCTGAAGCTACTGGAGATGAGCCTGATGATGCTGACCTGGAGGCACCTAAAGTCTATGAAAAGGTAAACCACAGGAACAAACAAGAACAATGGGATATCAATCATACTTGTACTGTACTGTACTGTAGGTTCCTTCATTTGAGTTCTTATCAGACAAGTTGTCCTATTACATGCAGCAGTATAATGACACTGTTAGGGGTGGCTCCATGGATATGGTGTTCTTCAATGATGCAATGATTCACCTGGTGAAGATATCAAGGATAATAAGGACTGACAGAGGTAATGCTCTCCTGGTTGGAGTAGGAGGATCCGGTAAACAATCATTAACAAGACTAGCTTCATTCATTGCTGGCTACAAGACCTTTCAAATAACACTCAGTCGTTCTTATAATGCCAACAACCTAATGGAGGACCTCAAGTACCTCTACCGTACTGCTGGTCTCCAAGGGAAGGGTATTACATTTATATTCACTGATAATGAAGTGAAGGAGGAAGGATTCCTGGAGTATCTCAATAATGTCCTCTCGTCTGGTGAAGTGTCTAATCTCTTTGCTAGAGATGAACTGGATGAGATCACTGGTGAGCTGATACCAATAATGAAGAGACAGTACCCCAAGAGACCGCCCACACAAGAGAACCTTTATGAGTACTTTATATCAAGAGCAAGGAGGAACCTTCATGTGGTCCTGTGCTTCTCACCTGTAAGTACATTAATACAATGATGGATGATACTCTTCTATTTCCAATAGGTTGGTGAGAAGTTTCGTAATCGTGCCTTGAAGTTCCCCGGGTTGATCAGTGGCTGTACAATGGACTGGTTCAGTCGATGGCCTAAAGATGCCCTCATAGCAGTGGCCCATCACTTCCTCAATGCTTATGATATTGTGTGTACCGAGACTGTCAAGAAACAAGTAGTGCAAGCTATGGGAGAGTTCCAGGACTTTGTGGCTGAGAATTGTGTTGGGTATTTTGATCGTTTCCGTCGTTCGGTCCACGTGACTCCTAAATCATACCTGTCCTTCATATCCAGTTACAAGACAGTTTATAAAGAGAAGAAGTCACAGATTGGAGAGCTGGCTGACCGAATGAACACTGGTCTTGATAAACTAGTGGAAGCCAGTGAGTCCATTGCTCAGCTTTCAAAGGATCTTGTAGTGAAGGAGAAGGAGCTGGCCATAGCATCAGAGAAAGCTGGTAAGGTACTGATTGAAGTAACAGCAAAGGCTCAGGCTGCAGAGAAAGTGAAGGCATCAGTTCAGACTGTGAAAGATAAGGCACAAGCTCTAGTGGATGATATTAATGTAAGAATAACATGTATGATGGGGCTAATTTTGACTTACTATTATTATTATTATTATTATTACTGTTATAGGCTGATAAAGAGATTGCTGAAGAAAAGTTAGAAGCTGCTCGTCCTGCACTAGAAGAAGCCGAGTCAGCACTTCAGACGATAAAAGCTGCCGACATATCAACAGTTAGGAAACTAGCCAAACCACCTCACCTTATCATGAGGATAATGGACTGTGTACTGATACTCTTCCAAAGGAGACTGGACCTAATGCAGCAGGACCCTGAGAAACCAGGGCCCAAACCATCATGGGGAGAATCACTTAAAGTAGTTTTATACTTACTTATTTATTTATGAATTTTGTTTTTTTGTTTAGTTGATGAGTCAGCAAGGTTTTATGACAGGTTTACAAACCTTCCCCAAGGACTCCATCAATGAAGAGACTGTTGAACTATTAGCTCCATACCTTGACATGGAGGACTATACACTGGAAACTGCTAAGAAAGTGTGCGGTAACGTAGCAGGACTACTCTCCTGGACAAGAGCAATGTCTGTATTCTATGGCATCAATAAGGAGGTGCTTCCACTGAAAGCTAATCTTGTAGTGCAGGAAGGAAGACTGGCCATTGCTAACCAGGACCTGGCCAAGGCTCAGGCTCAACTGGATGAGAAACAACGTGAGCTGGATGAAGTACAGGCCCAATATGACACAGCAATGAGAGAGAAACAAGCTCTCATTGATGATGCTGAAGCCTGCAGGAAGAGAATGACTGCAGCTACTGCACTGATTGATGGACTGGCTGGGGAAAAGGACAGATGGACACTGCAAAGTAAAGAGTTCCAGGAACAGATTGGAAGACTAGTAGGAGATGTACTCCTGGCCACTGGGTTCCTCTCTTACTCAGGACCTTTCAATCAAGAGTATCGTAACATACTGATGAGCGGCTGGGAGAAGGAACTGAGTAAAAGAAGCATTCCTTACTCACAGGACCTGAACATCACTGGGATGCTAGTGGATAATGCCACCATTGGAGAATGGAACCTTGAAGGACTACCAAACGATGAGCTATCAATACAGAATGGACTCATTGCAACCAAAGCTACAAGATACCCGCTACTGGTTGATCCACAAGGACAAGGAAAGACTTGGATTAAGAACAGAGAGAAAGAGAACGGACTCCAAGTGACGACACTGAACAACAAGTACTTTAGGACTCACCTTGAGGACTCACTCTCTCTTGGTAAGCCACTACTGATAGAGGACAGTGGGGAGGAACTGGACCCAGCACTGGATAATGTACTGGAGAAGAACTTTATAAAGTCAGGATCAACTTATAAAGTGAAAGTTGGGGATAAGGAGGTTGATGTAATGAATGGATTTAAACTGTATGTAACTACCAAACTAGCCAACCCTTCATACACTCCTGAAGTATGTGATCCTTATCTACAGTACATGTATACTGTACATGCATTGGTATATCCTTCACTATAGATCAGTGCTCGTACTGCTATCATTGATTTCACTGTTACAATGAAAGGACTTGAGGATCAGTTACTGGGGCGTGTTATTCTAACAGAGAAACAAGAACTGGAGGCCGAGAGAGTTAAACTGATGGAGGAGGTCACTGCTAACAAGAGGAAAGTAAAGGAACTGGAGGATAATTTACTGTATCGATTAACATCAACAAAGGTATAATACCTACCATTATACATGTACCTCTATTATACAGGTGCTATTGTTAGGGGTCTCTGGTTGATGATGAGACATTGATTGATGTGTTGAAGATTACCAAACAGACAGCACTTGAAGTGAATGAGAAGCTTGAGATAGCAGCAGAGACTGAGATAAAGATCAACACAGCAAGAGAAGAGTACAGACCAGTGGCTGCCAGAGGCTCCATACTCTACTTCCTTATTGTTGAAATGTCTGTAGTTAATGTCATGTACCAAACATCACTGAGACAGTTCCTCGGTGTGTTCGACCTATCAATGGAAAGGTCAATCATTAATTAATGATTATTAATTAATGGATGGTTTATTGTAGGTCAGAGAAGTCTCCGTTTGCTAGCAAGCGTATTCAAAATATCATTGAATATTTAACCTTCATGGTGTTCAAGTACACCTGCAGGGGACTCTATGAGAATCATAAGTTCCTGTTCACACTATTACTGCCATTGAAGATCAGCCTACAGTCCGGAGCACTCAAACACAATGAACTACAGACATTTATTAAAGGTATTCTATTATTTATTATCATTTTCATTATCATCATCATCATTATTATTATCATTATTGTTATTAGGTGGTGCAGCTCTTGATCTAAAGGCTTGTCCTCCTAAACCAGCTAAATGGATAATGGACATGATTTGGCTCAATCTTGTGTCTCTCAGTAAACTGCCTCAATTCTCTCAAATACTGGATCAAGTAAGTGGAACTCTTCACTTCTGATGCATATACATGTACTTATGTTGTGTAGAAAGTGTGAGCTGATTCCAATCAAGTTTGGATTTTTTATGATTTTTTAAAGTTGGTCCAAAATTGGCCAAAAGTCCCTGTACTATAGTACAGGGATTTTTGTCAAATTTCACAAAAATTGAAAAGTAGAAAATTCTTCAATTTTATTACATTTCCTGATGCATATACATGTACTTATGTTGTGTGGAAAGTTTGAGCTGATTTTGATCAAGTTTGGATTTTTTATGATTTTTTAAAGTTGCTTCAAAATCGGACAAAAGTCCCTGTACTATATAGTACAGTGATTTTTGTCAAATTTCACCAAAATTGAAAAGTAAAAAATTGCTCAATTTTATTACATTTCCTGATGCATATACATGTACTTATGTTGTGTGGAAAGTTTGAGCTGATTCCGATCAAGTTTGGATTTTTTATGATTTTTTAAAGTTGCTCCAAAATCGGACAAAAGTCCCTGTACTATAGTGCAGGGATTTTTGTCAAATTTCACCAAAAATGGAAAGTAGAAAATTCCTCAATTTTATTACATTTCCTGATGCATATACATGTACTTATGTTGTGTGGAAAGTTTGAGCTGATTCCGATCAAGTTTGGATTTTTTATGATTTTTTAAAGTTGCTTCAAAATCGGACAAAAGCCCCTGTACTATAGTACAGTGATTTTTGTCAAATTTCACCAAAATTGAAAAGTAAAAAATTCCTCAATTTTATTACATTTCCTGATGCATATACATGTACTTATGTTGTGTGGAAAGTTTGAGCTGATTCCGATCAAGTTTGGATTTTTTATGATTTTTTAAAGTTGCTCCAAAATTGGACAAAAGTCCCTGTACTATAGTACAGGGATTTTGGTTTAATTTTGCCAAAATTGAAAAGGAGAGACTTCTTCATTTATACTGTACAGTTCCACAGTGTATTTATGTACTTGTTGTACTTGTCCTCAGGTATCAAGGAATGACAGAGCCTGGAAGGTTTGGTTTGATAAGGAGGCACCAGAGGAAGCTCAGATACCAGGAGGATACAACATGGCACTGGACTCATTCAGGAAACTCTTATTGATAAGGTATACAGTAGGCAGCCATTATAATGATAGTATTTATGTGTAATGTGTATATGCAGGAACTGGTGCCCTGACAGGACATTAGCTCAAGCCCGTAAGTACATCAGTGAGTCAATGGGAGAGAAGTATGCTGAAGGAGTCATACTGGATCTTGAAGCAACTTGGGAAGAGTCTAATCCAAGAGTTCCTCTTATCTGCTTCCTGTCAATGGGATCAGACCCTACAACCAACATTGAGGGACTGGCTAAGAAGCTTAAACTAGAGTGCAGAGCTATATCAATGGGACAAGGACAGGAAGTACATGCAAGGAGACTGCTACAGCAATGCATCACTGCAGTAAGAGCTAGTGTACTGTACTTGTATTAGTATATTGATGGTACTCTATTACTCTAGGGTGGATGGGTATTGCTACAAAACTGTCATCTTGGATTGGATTTCATGGATGAGCTACTGAACACTATTCTTGAGGCAGAGTCTATTCATGATTCATGTAGAGTATGGATCACTACTGAAGTACATCCTAAATTCCCAATATCACTGCTCCAGGTAAACAACAGTTATTATTATTAATGTTATTATTATTATGTTTATTAATAGACCAGTATAAAGTTTACTAATGAACCTCCTCAAGGAGTTAAAGCTGGGCTCAAGAGGACCTATGCTGGTATCAGTCAGGAACAGCTTGACATCAGTAACCTCCCCCAGTGGAAGCCAGTCCTGTATGCAGTGGCCTTCCTCCACACTACAGTACAGGAGAGGAGGAAGTATGGGCCACTGGGCTGGAATATACCCTATGAGTTCAATCAAGCTGACTTCTCTGCTAGTGTACAATTCATACAGAACCACCTTGATGACATTGATCCTAAGAAGGTATTGGATTATTAATTATTTAATCAATTAATTGATTAATTAATTAATAGGGTATTTGTTGGAATACTGTCCGGTACATGTTAGGTGAGGTTCAATATGGTGGGCGTGTCACTGATGATTATGATAAGAGACTATTAAACACTTATGCTAAAGTAAACAAAAACAACAACAATTGTTATTATTATTATTATTATTATTATTTATTACTGTATATAGGTATGGTTTGGTGACCACATGTTCAGTGATACATTTTCATTCTACAAAGGATACAGCATCCCTCAGTGTAGAACTGTTGATCAGTTCAAGGAGGCCATTGAACAACTACCACTAGTAGACTCACCTGAAGCATTTGGACTCCACCCTAATGCTGACATAACGTATGTACACAATACCAACCATATCCTTCCTCTAGTTTAATGTACAATAGGTACCAGAGCAACATGGCTAAAGAGATACTGGATACAATAATGAGCATCCAACCAAAGGACAGCAGTGGAGGAGGAGGAGAGACCAGAGAGTCAGTAGTGGGTAGACAGGCGAGTGACATGTTAGAGAAACTACCTCCAGACTACATACCTCATGAAGTGAAGAGCAGGCTAGTTAAGATGGGAGCAATGTCTTCAATGAATATATTCCTGAGACAAGAGATTGACAGAATGCAGCGAGTGATATCACTAGTAAGGACAACACTGGTGGACTTACAACTGGCTATTGAAGGAACCATCATCATGAGTGAAGTAAGAACACTAGCTCCTATCATTAACTATTATTATATGATGGATATGTATATAGGGACTGAGAGATGCACTGGATTGCATGTTTGATGCTAAAGTACCTGATGTATGGCGGAAGGTTTCATGGGAATCATCAACTCTTGGCTTCTGGTTCACTGAACTCCTGGAGAGAAACGGACAGTTCTCTTCATGGATATTCACATCACGTCCCAACGTGTTCTGGATGACCGGGTTCTTCAATCCTCAAGGATTCCTCACAGCAATGAGACAAGAGGTAACACTTGATATATTATTAATGATGATACTGGAATGTTTAATAGGTGACAAGGGCTCATAAAGGCTGGGCACTGGATACAGTAGTATTGGAGAATGATGTCACTAAAATGTTGAAAGAGGATGTGAACTGTCCACCAAATGAAGGAGTCTATGTACACGGACTGTTCCTTGATGGAGCTGGCTGGGACAGAAGAGGCTGCAGACTAACTGAACCATCAGCTAAAGTGCTGTTCACATCTCTACCAGTGATACACCTGTATGCTGTTAATATTGGGGACCAGATCCGTGATCCTAGGAACTACTTCTGTCCAGTGTACAAGAAGCCACGAAGGACTGACCTGACCTACATCACTGCAGTTAAACTGAGGACACCATCAGCTCCTGTACATGCAGCCAACCCTGACTACTGGATACTCAGAGGAGTAGCTTTACTCTGTGACATTAAGTAGAGAACAATAGAACAACTATATATAACTGAACTGTAGCTGTAGGAGCTAGTAGTTATTAACTCTAGTTATTAACATTAGTTATTAGTTTGTAGTTATTAACAGTGGTTATTAAATACTAGTTATTAGTTTAAAATGGCGGCTAAAGTGGATCTTGTTTCAGGAGGTGTGGAGGAGCTAATTCAAGACTCTCCTTTGGATTCCTTGAGTCTGCAGACTATAATAAAAGTAATAACTACAGTCCAAGTTATCAAGACACTACATTAATGTATTAGGACCAGGATACCAGCAGGTATACCTGTATTGGTTGTAAGTATATTACTGAGGAGCAGGAGGCTCTCTTCCAACACATCAGGACAGAAAAACACTTTAGAAATGTTCATGTTAGAATAATAATAATAATAATTAACATTATTAGCATTATTCATTATTAATATAGGGTATTTATACTGAAATATTGCTACCTTTATTGGAGAGATCAACTGAATTTGATGAATTAAATTCATCAATTGAACGTATTTATAAGAATAACTCGGCCAAAGAAGTGAATCAGTTTAAACTGCGAACTGAAATAGTGAGAGAATTGGAAGAGAAGGTTCGAGTAGTTAATGGAAGTGTGTCGCTGGATGTGGTTGGATCAACTGCCACTGGATTGTGTTTAATAACTAGTGACATCAATATTAACATTACTACTGATGATGAGGTAGGTACTCCATTATTCATTTGTGTATCTATCAACATTTAGAGTATGATTCCAGATATATTATTAAATATTCTCAATTTATTGCGTGAAAATGGTAAGAGTTTCAATTAGTTAAGTAAATTTATTCATTTTTAGTTGAGGTGTATACTAATGTTAATGAAGACTTTTATTCGCCGCTTAAGATTCCAAAAATAACCTTCAACCACAAGTCAAGGTATGGAATCAGCTCAAACTTTCTACATAACATAAGAACAAGCACGTGCATTAGAAAATGTAATAAAATTCAAAAATTATCACATTTTCATTTTTGGCGAAATTTGGCCCGAGACCATGTACTATAGTACAGGGACTTTGACCTGATTTTGGAGCAACTTAAAAAATTCATAAAAAATCCAAATTTGATTGGAATCAGCTCAAACTTTATACACATCATAAGAGCATGTATATGTGTCAGGAAATATAATAAAATTCATGAATTTTCTCCTTTTAATTTTTGGCGAAATTTGGCCCAAGACCATGTACTTTTGTCTGATTTTGAATCAATACATTAAGTGACTGTGTATATTATACTATTTCATTAATTATTTCATTATTTAGTGGTATTTTATGTGAATTGAGAGCCGGAACATATGCTGTGAGTTATTGAACTTAATTAATTAATTAATTAATTATTATTATTAAATTCATAGCCCCAGAAGATGTCCTCATTATTATCAGTCTATTCAACACTTGATACAAGACTCACTGCCATTGGAACTGCACTCCATTACATAATTAATGTACGTCTATTTATGTATTAATGTATTAATGTATTAATGTATGTGTATTAATGTATTGTTATGTTTTCAGGTGTTAAAGTGCAACCAGCAGATTAATGGTCATTATCCTTCAGTGGTATTTGACTTATTAATTATTCATTACTTGCAGCAGACCACACCCCCTGTATTACCTGTGATACATGAACTATTGGATACTGATCAGACCGAGAGAGAAGAGGGCGGAGCATTCATTAATAACAATAAGTTCAAGGAGGCCCTAGCATCAGCTGCCAAAGAATGGGCCAGTACTAACACAGAGACTGTTGGACAATTACTATATGGGTTATTGAGGTGGGTGTGGCATCATTATTAATTGATTAATTATTATTATTACCGTTAGGTATTACGTATTTGATTTCAGTACTAGTGAGCATGCAGTTAGTGTCAGACAGCTCCAGTTACTAACAAGAGTTAGTAGGGGGTGGGGGAAATATGGACTGGCTGTTGAAGGTAATTAATAATTATTAATTATTTAATTAATAACACTATTATTATTATTATTGTTATCATTAATTAGATCCTATTATTCCAAAGAGCAACATTGCAAGAGCCTCCAATGACAATAGTAATCATTAATAATTGATTAAATAATTAATTGTTATATTTATAGTATTTGAATACTTGATGGATTGTTTAAAGACTATGTATTTACAGTTTAATGGAGTCTCATCTCATATTGATGTACTCCTGTCTTCATCAATAGCTCTACTGCTCAAACAATCCACCGATACCAACAAACCAACCGCTGGGACTGCAGCAATACATCATGATGACACTGGTAAACACAGTGGCATGATCATTGGACCAGTAGCCCCCTCCATTGGACTGGTAGCCCCCTCCATTGGACCGGTAGCCCCCTCCATTGGACCGGTAGCCCCCTCCATCATTGTACCAGTAGCCCCTTCTAATGGACCGGTAGACCCCTCCGTTGTACCAGTAGACCCCTCCATTGTTAATACGACCAGCAGTGCATCAGAGGAAGAGGAGAAGGGTGGTGGTGATGATCAGTCAATGGCTGATGGTAAGGATGGTAAAGATGGTGTGAGTGTTTCTAAACTGAAGAGGAGGAGGAGGAGGTTGTTCTTTAAACCTGTTGAGCATCAGGAGATAATGAAATTAATTAAATTAATTAATTTACCTCAAGAGGAAAAGTGTCCAATTGATGAATGGATCCACCTACCTCGTTTTAAAAGATTATTAAAAGTAATGTTTAACTAGTGATAATAACTATTAATAACTATCTCTAGTCTTGTCCGGTTTCTTGTGTTTTGTGTAAAAGGAATGGACATTCTGCACTGGTATGCTGTTACTATAGCAACCATAAATTTAATTATTATGATAGAGTTGTCCAAATGAAAAAGTCCCGAAGTTACTTGAAGAGGCTCCTCTACCTCCAAACAGAACCTTAAGAAACATGGAAGGATTGTTCATCCAGTATAAAGGTATAAATGTACATACTGTACAGTGTTAATACAGTATATTATTATTGATTATTGTTGATTATTATTATTGATTATTATTGATTATTGTTGTGTGCAGAATCAGTGAAATTAACTGATCCTGAGATAAAGCAAAGGAATGAAACTAAAGAATTGATACAAAGTGACATCAGGAAACTTTATGCAAGTAAGTAATGTCACAGTCTTTAATTAATTGATTATTATTATTGTTATTAATTAGATTCTAGCTTGGAATTGTTTGGATCATCAGCCAACGGATTTGGACACAGTAAGAGTGACCTTGACCTTTGTCTTATAATGGAAGATGATGAACAAGTACCTCATTAATGGATTAATTAATTAATTAATATTCATAGACTGATAAAGTCCAAATAATAGAAGATTTGGTGGAATCTCTCAAAGCTGACGGTAATCAATTAGTACATCAATTAATTAATTAATACATTAATATCAGTTAAATACAGGCGAGTAGTTGGTATCAAGACAGCAAGGGTCCCAATAGTTAAACTGACCATTAGCAGATGGTAATGAATAAATTAATGAATAAATTAATGATTGATTGATTACAATGTACATACATTCAGTAACATTGATGCTGACATCAGTCTGTTGAACAGTCTGGCACTCCACAACACTAACATGTTAGCTGCTTATAACGATATAGACGAGAGACTCCAGACACTGGGTTTCATACTGAAGTACTTTGCTAAAGTGAGTTTGATACTGTTAGTCTGTTATTTATTACCATATTAGGTGTGTGATATGTGTGATGCTAGTTCTGGTAGTATCTCTTCATATGCTTTCATTATTATGATGATCCATTACCTACAGCAGCTACCAATACCTGTTTTACCAGTTCTACAACAGGTTCATCCAGTCATTATCATTATTATCATTACTGTTTGTTAATAGTTAGGTGATAGATCCGTTGGGCCAGTAGTTAATGGTTGGAATTGTTATTATTTTAAAGACATCAGGAATTTAGTAAGTAATGTCACTCTCATTGATTGATTTTGAAGTATTGAGGAACTATAGCATTTTGAATAAAATTCTCCTGATACATTATACATGTACTTATGTTGTATAGAAAGTTTTGGACTGATTATAAATTAAAGATGATAGAGTATACAGCTCACTGAGGGGCTGTGAGTTCACTGGTACATACAATGTATAATAGTCACTCCTGTCCCAACCACCTAATGTAAACTGTGGTCACACAGTAACAATGATATGTTATCTAAACTGAGTATTGTCATTACATCTAAAGTGGCTATTGTCATTACATTATACTCCATTGACAGTATGAGGTATGGAAACCAGTTGAGAGGAACAGGATGAGTGTAGCTGAGCTATGGATTGGATTTCTGAAGTACATTATATCAGTAATTAATTAATTAATTAATTATTTGATTGACAGATATTATGCTATGGATTTTGATTGGTTGACTGATGTGGTAACAATTAAACAATTGGACAAGTTAACAAAGTTTAAGAAATGGTGGACATCAAAGCACGTGGCAATTGAAGATCCTTTTAACTTGGAGCATAACCTCGGACAGGCTGTATCTGGCAGAAGTATTAATGATTATTATAACTAACTAATATTATCCATTTATTGCAGTGAGGACTTACATGTTGATGAGGTTTCAAAGAGCTTACAAACATCACACGAAACCCAAGCACTGGAAGCACCTGGTGCATATGTGTCATTATTAAGTGTTACTATTATCATTAATTATTGTAGGATGAATTAATTAATGAATTTGTATTATGTGGTAAATTCAAAGCTCCCAAGTTTTTGATTTGTGATAAGTGCAACTCCAGAGGACACAGAGCAGAGTCTTGTAGTACCACCAGTAAGGACAGCATACACCATCACTTTATCATAATGTATGTATATGTACATGTATGCTGTATAATGTATACATGTATTTGGGTTGTGTTTGTAGGTACAGGAGGAGAGAGAGGGAAGGAGAGAAATAATAAACAACAGCAGCAGCAGCAACACCAACAACAGAAACAGGAACAGAAAGAGAAACATGAAGATAAACAGGAACCAGAGGATGCAGTTATGAGAGGAGGGGGAGGAAGGAGAGACAGGGGGACAGGAAGGAAGGGGAGAGAAAGGAAGCATGGTGATGACCCAGGTCAGTGTATTATTAGTAAACTAATACGATGAGTCTTGTATACTATACAGAAAGAAATGATGCATTAAAACGTGTATTGGCTATTACAAGGAATGGCTCTATTGAAGAATTAAAGAGATTGAAGCAACGTTTAAGACCATTGGTGTATGATAAACGTAGAAATGGGACCATACAACACAAGATTGAACTGTCTGTTGTTAACGAACTACTCAAGAAACATGAAGCCACACCCACTGGAGGAACCACACCCATTGTTAGAACCACACCCACTGGAGGAGCTACACCCACCAGTACTAGTTCTGGTTTCATTCCAGTACCAGTTTCAGCAGTTTATTCATCTCATTCCCTCGGTGTATTACCGTACAATGTCAGACCCCCTCCTTTACTAGCCACACCCCCTCCATTACTAGCCCCACCCCCTCCAACTGACACACCTTCAAGACTACATTTACTCTCCAGTCGTCCGTACAAACATTGAAAATATTTATTATTACTGTTGTTAATTATTTTTTGTTATTTAGAAAAACAAATTATTATTTGAACTGAAGGTGAAGCCGTGTAAAGGTGCAGATATATAGACTGACCACATTTCACTATCAGCAGCCCTTGCAGCCTTTCCTCACTACTGTAGCACCTTCAGCCCTGAGTATCATTACCTGTTGTCTACTGCTAATCACTGACTGCTTTAGTCTCTACCTCAACTGTATATACTGCTGATTACTGTCTGTTAGGAACTGGTTTAGTCTCTTCTCTGTCTATTGGAAGACTGTGTAGATAAGACTGGACAATATGTTCTTGTTCATTTCAGTTTGTATAATTACAATATGTGGATCAGCTACTGATGCTCACTCTATTAATAAAAGAGGTAAGTAATGTCAAGGTTGATTGATTCCCTTCATTAATGGCCCATAGATGTTCCTCCATTAGCTCTACACTGCACTCCTCAGTGGAATGGAACTAATCAATCATTCACTGTCCATATTGATTTCAATGTCTCCAATGACATTATTGGTAGCCTTCATCATTTTTGGATCACATTTGAAGTTTCTTTAAAATCAAATGGAAATACACAATCACACGTTGACATAGCACAGGTTTATGCTAATGTAAGTGTAAGCTATAAATTATTATTATTATTGTTATTATTATTATTATTATTATTATTATTACCATTTTCTCATGTAGAGTGGGACAAGACATCAAAATGTAACTCAGTTTCAACATACTGATTACAATAGACGTCCTATTAGTAACCACTTAAAAGCTGATTATCAAGTAAATGTTTTTGCTATTTATAAACTATAATAATAATAACTACTAGGTGACTACGAGTTGGACTCAGTTCCCAGCTGGTGTGTCTAGTCACATAAAAGACACTGTGTCCCTATACCCTCCCCTTCCTCCCACTCCAGTTGATCCATTACTAACTAACAGTGTCTATACTACTAGTGATTCTACACCTTCTATCATAGTAACCATCACCTCATTGACTGTATCATGGACTATTGATGATGGTGATGATAATAATCAACTGATTAAATATTATTTGAATTTCACTGGAAACTTTATTAGTCAGCATGCTCCATCAGTTGTTAGCAACGTGACTGCTGCAGGAAATGATGTAAGTATATAGTTTGTGCTATTACTAATTCTGTTTATTTTATTTAATTTGCAGACGTTCACAGGTCAAAGTACTGCCCCCATTACTATATTTGTACGTGATCACTCTCCATTCATACTAATACAGGTACAATTATTAATGATTTTATTATCATTAATATCATTATCAATTAGATGTATTCCCAATATTCTGTTACTGGCAATAGTGGCCAAATGATAAGTGTCACTTCTGATATCACCAATATAGCAAACATTTCATTAACAACAACAACAACAACAACAACTACTACTACTAGTACAACAACAACTACTACTACTACTACTACTACTACTACTACTACTACAGCAGCCACCAGTACTTCTACTAATAATACTCCAATGAGCACTACAATAGAACCAACAGCAACAACAACAGCAGTAGCAGTATCAGATACATCAGTTACTAGTGTCCCATTATCAGTTGCTAGTGTCCCATTATCAGTTGCTAGTGTCCCATTATCAGTTACTAGTGTCCCATTATCAGTTACTAGTGTCCCATTATCAGTTACTAGTGTCCCATTATTGAGTGTGACTATGGAGACATTGAGTGTTATGTCATCTCATCAGGTAACAGAATCAGTGACAGGAAGCACCACTACTAATGGTAAGTCCCTCTACTATTTGTTATGTACTATTTACTACTTGTTTATTGCACAGGATCTTCCTCCTTCACACAGGAAACTACAGTCATCATTGCAACAAGTTCACTGTTTGTGTTGTTGTTAGTAATTGGTATAGTACTGGTCGGCTTTTGCTGGTTTATCATAAACAGGAGAAAGAAGTTCAAGAACATATCGGAAGGTTTTGATATTGTAAGAGTTGTCAAAAATAATGTTTATTATTAATTATTGGTATCCTTTCAATTTGAAGGAAAGAAATGATGACATGTTTGCAATATTCAACAACCAACAGCAGACTGTATTGCTAAATGGACACTCCTCAAAGGATTGCAATGTTGACCTAACCTTCTCTCTACACACTGATGAATGGGAGATACCTTTTGATATGATACAGTTTGATCACTTGCTGGGTGAAGGTTGTTTTGGTGAAGTTTATTTGGGGAGATTGAAACAGGAGTTTAGCAGCAGTGTTTTAACAGCTTATTTTAGACAAAATAATACCAACGGGTTTGTAGCAATCAAACTATTGAAACGTAAACTATAATCGATAATTATTAATTGTTTATAATAATTATGTTCTTAACTAGCTACTGCCTCCAGCAGTGAAAAGAATGACTTCCTTAAAGAGATAGAACTAATGAAGAAGATATCAGTTGGTAAAAACCCTCGAGTTGTTAATATGCTGGGATCAGTGACAGTGCAAGAACCAATGCTACTGGTAACTGAGTTTGTGGTGCATGGAGACCTACTGACCTTCTTAAGGGCTTGCAGGAAGAAGGTAAAGAGTTGAGATTCAATTAATAATTAATTTATAATTAATTAATTGCTATAGATTGTGTTTCACAGAGGGAAAGGGCAACACAATGAAGACACCTCTGTAAGAATGGGAGGAGACTATTATTATTATTATTATTATTATTATTATTATTATTATTATTATTATTTTGCACAGGACGAACAGTTTGGAGTACTTGATTCAAATGATTTAGTTTCGTTTGCTTATCAAATAACTTCAGGAATGGTAAATCAATCAACCAATAGTTCATTAATGATACATCATTGATAGGAGTATCTTGCTAGTCTTCAGGTAGTACACAGGGACTTAGCCTGCAGGAATATACTGGTAGGGGAAGGGAAGAGTCTCAAGATTACTGACTTTGGAATGTCAAGGATGATATATCATGACACTGCTTATGTTAAGACAACCAAAGGGAAACTGCCATTGAAGTGGATGTCGATAGAATCAATCATTGACAGGATATTCACTACAGCATCTGATGTCTGGTCATTTGGCATATGTTTATGGGAAATAGCAACACTTGGTGAGTTAATGAGACTATTGGTATTATTATTATTATTATTATTATTATTATTATTATTATTATTATTATTATTATTATTATTGATAGGTAATGTACCATACCCAACAGTGAGCAATGAGGATCTATTACCAATGTTAAATCAAGGATATAGAATGGAAAAACCAAACAGCTGCTCTGATGAAATGTAAGTATAACGTGTTGCTATTATTATTATTATTGTTGTTGTTATTATTATTATTTATTATTATAGTTATCAAATCATGCTATCATGTTGGGAAGCTCTACCTGATGAGAGGCCATTGTTTAGTGACCTCAGATCTAATTTCGATCGTATATTGTCCAGACAACGTAACTTTGACGAGAACTACATTGACTTAAGCGCCACCAACACTTTGGCAGTTCCTGTACCTTCAATTGATGCTGCTAGTGTCACTGAAGATGAAGAACCAGTTAAAGAAATGAAAGAGAAGGAGAGAATGCTGTCAAATTCAAGATTGTCCAATGTATACGTGGAGAGTCCCTCTCACAGTTACGACTATAAAGCCGAGAGGCCAACTCGTCTCTCATTCCAAGGAGGCACTCTCTCACCAACAGCAGCTGTCACTCCAGGAGGTATATCGCTACCAGTCAATAACGAAAGTAAGAGCTGGAACGCTACCTTTGGATCACATTTGAATGCCAGCCCAACAGGAAGTAACTATATGTGAACAATTTTAAAAACCAACTTAATAAAATAAAATAATGTATAATGATATAGAGTAGTAATGTGTTATGTATCATAGAGTGTGCTAGTCTTCATCGCTTATCACTATAACCTCATGTTCAGTTTTGTTTCCCATTACTATAACATCATTAGTACCATTGGTATCAGACTCATCCTTTTCCCTCTCACTCCCTCCCTCCTCCTCCCTTCTCTTCTTGGAGCTGCTGCCAGTGGCTTCTGTTTCCTCATCTAATGAAGAGTCACAGCTACCATCACTCTCCTTCTCTTGACGTGAGACATATTCCTCAAACAAATCTGTTAGTTTCCGTTGACCTTCTTCTAAACTCTTTTTAAAAGTTTCTTTTAGTAATGGTTCTGTAAGTGCAGGGTCTTCTTTTGTAGGATCCTTGCTATAGTCAGTTAATAACTGTCTCCATTCTGTATCTCTTGATTTCTTTAATCGCTCACCGACTTCCTTGAATACTTTCCTTGACAACGTTTGTCTATCTTTATCTTTTATGCCTAAGGAATGTTTCTCATTGGCTCTATCAATTAGTTGAGCCACGTCCCAATAGTCAGGGAAATCCTCTTCTGATTTGAGTAGCCTCTCCACCTTCCTATTGATCTCAGGATAGGGTGTACCATCAAATGGGCCCGTTCCTTTCTCTTCTAATTTTATTGTTGGTGATAACTTCTTGAGTTGGCACAATTCCAACCAAGTCTCCATAAATTTCCTCTTAATGAGGTCCTCCTTGAGGTAGGTGCTTTTATCACTGTTCATGTCCTCCAGGGACAAGTCTTGTTCCATCAGTTCCCTGATCTGCCTGTCATACAACTCCAGCTTCTTTTCTAGTCTCCTTACTTTCCTTCTTGCCACCATTTTAACACTTAAAGAGGACAGTGAGGCTTCACTGGAACTTTCCCCCTTTCCTTCTGCCATTTTCAAATATTAATTTATTAAATTTAATTTAACCAATTTAACCCTGATGACCACCATTTTTATTCATGAATATGGGGTAGTACAGTACGCATGAAGAAGTTGTTCTCTTACTCTGTCAATTGCGTGTCACTGTGATCCAATGGCTGTTGACGGTTTGTGGAGGAGGACACCTCTTCACTATGCTGCTCGTAGTGGTTGTTCTACAGCTGTTGAATATTTACTATCAACTAGTAAATGTGATCCATTGCCGGGCTAAAGACAGTAAGGGGAGAACACCATTTGAGCTAGCTAACTGAGGAGTATGGTCGCACTGCTACTCTTTCTTCCACGGTCTTGAAGAAGTTTGGTGACAAAATCATCTCATCCAATTGATTCTTATGTTAACGTCCTCCTTGTGGGTAATCCTGGAGCTGGTAAAAGTACTCTTAGTCATGTCATCAAGGACACAGCTACTGGCCCTTTTGTTCTTGGAGACACCATTGACTCATAAAGCTAGGTATGTTATAATATGTACTATCACAATTGTCAAGTAGTGGAAGTGTAGACTGTGTATACACATTGTTAATTATTATTTTTATAGATATTAAAGATTTTGATATTCTCATCGAAGAGCTAACAATGCTCAATCATTTACCTTGCCATATATGGCATGATCTTGGCCTTCAGTAGGACTCTATCAGCCTACACTAAAAGACATCAATGAAGATAATGGAGACTCTAAGAAGTGCTTCAGACAGTGTATGTCTGCCTGTTTAAGAGGAGAAGATAATGTGAGAGAAAGAAAGTCCCAGTTGGTCATCATTAGCTACAGCACTGGATACAATAGAAGATAAATCTATAGCTAGTGACATTAGAGACAAGTATTGACAATAATTAGTTAGTGGATGATTGTCTATAGTATTTCATTTTAGTCTGTTTATGAGCTGTCATCATGTTACTAATTTCCCTACCTCTATAATTCATTGAAAATTCAATATTAATTAAACTTTCTGTGCAACATGTGTACATGTAAGTACATGTACATGTGCATCAGTAAATGTACAGGTTCCAAGCATTCGTAATGGAGTGGTGTATGTATGTGGTGGTGGCTCATTCGGGCTCTGTCATTATAAGCAGTACTGTAGCTGTAACAGCTAGAATAGGCAATGGCAGCTGCCCTGCATTTAAATCGCCATTATATTAAATTAAAAATAATTTAGAATATATTTTTTAATTAAAATATTAATAAACATCAAAAGAGTGAAAGAAGAGTCATTGTTTGTGTCTTTATAAATCTCTTGTTTCTCAAGTTGAGTATCGCACCACTTAACATTTCAACCTGAACCTATCAAAAATAATGTTAAGATTTGCTTTTGAGTATAGTTACTGTTAGTAAGTAAGAGTCTTGTTATATTCTTCTTGTATGTAGTGCTCTTAGCATCACTAGCAGTAGTAACCACTGGTGATCCCAGGCAGCACCATGTGGAGGCGGCACTACATTGCTGCCCAACCTATAATACCTAGTGGGAAATGCAAATACATCATTATTATGATTATGACAATGTTGACACATAACTTGATATTCTTATATTGCATGTCATTGTTCCACTAGTGACAGTATCTTAGAAATAGAAAGAGCTATATCAAACATTATTGATAAGTAACTCTTCAATATTTGATTTTATCTGTAAAACAGTAGCTGTAATACCTTTAAAATGTAAATTAACGCTTTGTAGATATACATGTTTAGAAAATACTTGAACAGTGAGATACTCCACACAGGCAATGTGGACAGGAGCTTGTTGACAAGTTGATGATACTAAAACTACTATAGTGCTTCCTACACCATTAACCTTCAATATATCACTATAACCTGTACCAGTACATTACTACCTACCTATAGGGGCTAGGACTTAATAACTATATTGTTGAAAAATGAACACTTTACTAATTAGTATCATTGTAGGTTGAGGCTGCAAGTACTTGCAATCCATTCATCTTATCCACACTTCAGCATATAAAGACTACTTACAACCGATGACCCTTTATACACTTGTAAAACCATTATGATAAACACCATATTAACCTTGTTATAATGTTCCATTACCTAAATCATAACATGATGATCCTCAATAGGTGTACCTATACCATATTAACCTTGTTATACAAGTACATTCATAGCATTACCTATGATACCTTATAACCTCTGACCTTTACAATGTAAATATGCTTTACTGAGCACATTGCTACCACCATATATACCATTACCATTGCCTACATTAACTTATAACAACACAATATATGACCTTATTATTGTTCCTTAATACTTAAAGACTATACCATTCAGAGGCATAACCAGGGAAATGATGGAGGGAGGGCACACTATGGACAAGTGAACTTCACATACAATTTATAGACAAGAGAACAGTCAGAACACTATGACAGTTGGTAGGGTACAAGCATAGACTGGTAGGGCATGTGCTCCACTGTACCCTACCCTGGCTACGCCACTGATACCATTTGATAATGGTAACTGCATGTGACCATTACATATACCGAACCATATGTTACCTCTATTGCATGTGACCATTGTCTATATATTGTAACTCTACAACCTTAACGTAACAACAAAAGTATACTCTTGATACCATAATGTACTACACAATGTGCATATGATAGTAGCAATTATGTAGTGTTTGATTGGTTTTAAGTAGTTAAAGGATCGAGACAAAAAAAGAAAAAGAAAATGTCTGATCCTTTCTTCTGCTTAGATCCCTCTCACATGATCAGGACTAAAAGATGTTGAATATTGTATTATAAACTTAAAAGAGAGATAGAGAGAAGGGGAGATACAAAAGAACAGGAACACACTAGAAAAAGATCAGGGACAAAACCAAAAAGAAAAACATCACTATATATACTAGTCCGTGGTTAACTATGTAAACAATATAATGACTACAATAATCACAATAACTATAAATCATTTTATTTACAACAAAAGCAGGTCACTGTAAAAAAAGGGTAGCTCAACCTATTGCATGCAGTGAAAAAATATGCTGATGTCTTCATTGAATCCAGAATATTTTCTCCTGTTTCTCTCCTTCCTTGATCCTCTCCCAACTGAAAGACAGCTAGTGATGAATGATCCGATTGTAAACTGACAGGAGAAGTGTAGAGTAGTGATGCTTGAGCCTCAATGCTATGGTAACATTTGGAAGTGTTGTGTCCAAAGTGACAGATCTGCCTCCTCCTTAGCTGATGTTTTGTCCAATGGACCATCAAATCATATTTATAATCATGTATGCATGGACAGTACACACATCAATGTAAAATGGGGACTCTGTCATGAGCACAGGTACATACATAAGGAATCAGTAAGAGATTACCCAGCTAAACTTGGAAACAGTTTAACGTCATATTTAGGACCCTAAACTTAGAAACAGTTTAACGTCATGTTTAGGACTGTTAAAATCTAAAAAAGTATGTAGGGATTTGACATCCATTTGACTACACATTATAACCTAAGCTAAAGGAAGAAACATCAAGCAATGACAGGTATAGGAATGGTACAATATTACTGTGTAGTAGCTAATGTAAAGGGTCACCACTCACCTGTATAATTTAATGTATAAGGGTGTACTCTCAAACTCTCTAATTTCATTTGAAAGAACGGGACTACATGTACACATGCAAAGGGATGCATGATGCATAGTACAACTATTCAGGAGCCCATGAAAAGGTTGGGCTCCTGATTTATTACTTAGCTGGTATCCGTAATGATAGCTATCCAAAGGTACTGTTGTATAGGGGCCAGAGAACGTACTGCAAAACAAATCAAAAGCAGAGGACAATATCCAATTCGTGAAAGAAACCAGCAGAGAGCTTACATCGAATCAGGAGAAGAGAGACCAGGGCAAACAGGACAGATGAAGCCTTACAAAGAGAAATGCATCAATAA